GGGAGAAAGCACACTTTCCGCCTCTCATGAACCAGCAAAGCCAAGCTGGCTACTTAAGCCCGCAAATAACGCTAGAATATTTTGTTCGCGCCAACAGAAGGAAGAACGAGGGTTGCTGGGGCCCAATAGCTTGAACACAAAGGGAGAGTAGCCTGTCACATCGGCATTTAGGTTTCTACTACCATGAAATCCTATGACATTAAATCAGTGGAGTTGTGTCGTTACATCATGAACTTTGAGCCAACGCTGCCTATGTTAAGCAGTCGTCAGGGATGACTACACACCGCTGGGAAATCTTAATCAGAAAGGGAGACTGCCAAAGCGAGCATTTCAAAGCCCTGAATACATTACAGGAGAATCGACAGACGTCAGGTCAGGAGCGATCAAGTTGTTGTACACTTCAGGGAGCTTACATGGAAGACTGGGCCCCTGAAGACTTGGGTCAGGTGGTCAAGAGCGTTAGGAAGATATTTGCACCTTTGGATTTGTCGACAAATGTGTGCTATCAAATAATAAGAAATTTCCATGAAAATATGTCAACTGCAAAAATGTTTCCTTTCCCTTGCAAATATTATATATGATATCCAGACCATAATTACAAAAACAGCATTTCAAATAACCTGATGATTATCATAGAATTTTCATACAGTGATTATCATTAGAGAGGTGACGTCTTTTGAAAAACAAATTGTTTAAGCTTGATCAAGAGGGCCTATAGGCACAGTTGTGTATAAACATTGGCGGTGAAAATATTTCTTCCAAGACACGTGCCGGAGGACGCGGAGACGGTAGCACAGTGTTAGAGGTGTGGAGAGCCTCCTCCTTCAGAAACAAACCCCAGCACATGTGCAACAGTTGTGGTAGCCGCACTTCGAGGAGGTTTTCAAATAAGAGTTGTGAGAGCAATATTCCGCCAGCCTGACCCGTTGCGAGGCGTGACAGTGGTTGGGCCCACATTCCTACATCACATGACCCCGCTAGGACTTTGGGGAAAATGCTATTAACAAGCAACTATCGTTAGAACCACCATAATCCAACGATCTTTCTAACCGGTATTTACCCAGGTCCTTCCTGAATCTAAATTTGTTCAACTTATTTATATTCAGTTGAATCCCAGGTTGTGTGTTTTTAACCATGTCGTGGTGATGTGGTTTATGGTGTGTGCTTGGGAGTACCAAATGTATGAATCCTCTTGATGGCTCCTACTAACTTTCGTCCAATTTGAAAGTCTATTTAGATCATCTTGATTTGTCTTCTGAATATATTTTCCTCCCTATTTTTGAATGATATGCAAGTTTACAAATGTGGCTGCTCAGTCGTGAAACTAAATCTCACATAGGTAAATATGATACATTATTTACCTATATATCATACTTACATAGGTAAAAGTGCTTCAGGAGTGTCTGGTGAGGCACTTTTGGACAAAGCACCGATGGAAATTTGACTATTTTCCCACCCTCGGCCCCGTCTCATGTCTCCAAGCTCTCACTTACTGCGAACTACTGTCCACACTTGAATCTTGTTTCCTCTCGCCTTCCCTGCTGGCTGCTGGCAACTGTCTCCCTGACACACAGTTGGACGAGAGCTCCTCTACCACTCCACTCCCTCAAAAGCCCACTCCAGAGTGTCTGCGCCACATAGCTGCTTCCACTTCTGATGTCTCTCTTCCACTCTCTTCAACACTCAACGGCGTTTACCCGAACTCTGGCAATCCTTTCTCCTCGCCAAGTGATTTGCAGGAATTGTGTAGTGTAAAGTACTCTGAGGAAGGTTATGTGTCTCACGTGAACGACAGCTCCTGCCTGCCCGTTCATGGGGCGACAGCTCCTGCCTGCCCGTTCATGGGGCGACAGCTCCTGCCTGCCCCTTCAGGGGGTGACAGCTCCTGCCTGCCCCTTCAGGGGGTGACAGCTCCTGCCTGCCCCTTCATGGGGTGACAGCTCCTGCCTGCCCGTTCATGGGGCGACAGCTCCTGCCTGCCCGTTCATGGGGCGACAGCTCCTGCCTGCCCGTTCATGGGGTGACAGCTCCTGCCTGCCCCTTCAGGGGGTGACAGCTCCTGCCTGCCCGTTCATGGGGTGACAGCTCCTGCCTGCCCCTTCAGGGGGTGACAGCTCCTGCCTGCCCGTTCATGGGGTGACAGCTCCTGCCTGCCCGTTCATGGGGCGACAGCTCCTGCCTGTCCGTTCATGGGGTGACAGCTCCTGCCTGCCCGTTCATGGGGTGACAGCTCCTGCCTGCCCGTTCATGGGGCGACAGCTCCTGCCTGCCCCTTCAGGGGGTGACAGCTCCTGCCTGTATGTTCATGGGGTGACAGCTCCTGCCTGTCCGTTCATGGGGCGACAGCTCCTGCCTGCCCGTTCATGGGGCGACAGCTCCTGCCTGCCCCTTCAGGGGGTGACAGCTCCTGCCTGCCCCTTCAGGGGGTGACAGCTCCTGCCTGCCCGTTCATGGGGTGACAGCTCCTGCCTGCCCGTTCATGGGGCGACAGCTCCTGCCTGCCCCTTCAGGGGGTGACAGCTCCTGCCTGCCCCTTCAGGGGGTGACAGCTCCTGCCTGTATGTTCATGGGGTGACAGCTCCTGCCTGCCCCATCAGGGGGTGACAGCTCCTGCCTGCCCGTTCATGGGGCGACAGCTCCTGCCTGCCCCTTCAGGGGGTGACAGCTCCTGCCTGCCCCATCAGGGGGTGACAGCTCCTGCCTACCCGTTCATGGGGCGACAGCTCCTGCCTGCCCGTTCATGGGTTGACAGCTCCTGCCTGTCCGTTCATGGGGCGACAGCTCCTGCCTGTCCGTTCATGGGGCGACAGCTCCTGCCTGTCCGTTCATGGGGTGACAGCTCCTGCCTGCCCGTTCATGGGGTGACAGCTCCTGCCTGTCCGTTCATGGGGCGACAGCTCCTGCCTGCCCGTTCATGGGGTGACAGCTCCTGCCTGTCCGTTCATGGGGTGACAGCTCCTGCCTGCCCGTTCATGGGGCGACAGCTCCTGCCTGCCCGTTCATGGGGCGACAGCTCCTGCCTGCCCGTTCATGGGGCGACAGCTCCTGCCTGCCCGTTCATGGGGCGACAGCTCCTGCCTGTCCGTTCATGGGGCGACAGCTCCTGCCTGCCCGTTCATGGGGCGACAGCTCCTGCCTGCCCCTATCATGGGGCGACAGCTCCTGCCTGCCCCTATCATGGGGCGACAGCTCCTGCCTGCCCCATCAGGGGGTGACAGCTCCTGCCTGCCCGTTCAGGGAGTGACAGCTCCTGCCTGCCCCATCAGGGAGTGACAGCTCCTGCCTGCCCCATCAGGGGGTGACAGCTCCTGCCTGCCCCTATCATGGGGCGACAGCTCCTGCCTGCCCGTTCAGGGAGTGACAGCTCCTGCCTGCCCGTTCAGGGAGTGACAGCTCCTGCCTGCCCGTTCAGGGAGTGACAGCTCCTGCCTGCCCGTTCATGGGGTGACAGCTCCTGCCTGCCCGTTCAGGGAGTGACAGCTCCTGCCTGCCCCATCAGGGAGTGACAGCTCCTGCCTGCCCCATCAGGGGGTGACAGCTCCTGCCTGCCCCATCAGGGAGTGACAGCTCCTGCCTGCCCCATCAGGGGGTGACAGCTCCTGCCTGCCCCATCAGGGGGTGACAGCTCCTGCCTACCCCATCAGGGAGTGACAGCTCCTGCCTGCCCCATCAGGGAGTGACAGCTCCTGCCTGCACCATCAGGGAGTGACAGCTCCTGCCTGCCCCATCAGGGGGGTGACAGCTCCTGCCTGCCCCATCAGGGGGTGACAGCTCCTGCCTGCACCATCAGGGAGTGACAGCTCATGCCTGCCCCATCAGGGGGGTGACAGCTCCTGCCTGCCCCATCAGGGGGTGACAGCTCCTGCCTGCACCATCAGGGGGGTGACAGCTCCTGCCTGCCCCATCAGGGAGTGACAGCTCCTGCCTGCCCCATCAGGGAGTGACAGCTCCTGCCTGCACCATCAGGGAGTGACAGCTCCTGCCTGCCCCATCAGGGGGTGACAGCTCCTGCCTGCCCGTTCAGGGAGTGACAGCTCCTGCCTGCCCGTTCATGGGGTGACAGCTCCTGCCTGCCCCATCAGGGGGTGACAGCTCCTGCCTGCCCCATCAGGGGGTGACAGCTCCTGCCTGCCCCATCAGGGGGTGACAGCTCCTGCCTGCACCATCAGGGAGTGACAGCTCCTGCCTGCCCCATCAGGGGGGTGACAGCTCCTGCCTGCCCCATCAGGGGGGTGACAGCTCCTTCCTGCACTATCAGGGGGTGACAGCTCCTGCCTGCCCCATCAGGGGAGTGACAGCTCCTGCCTGCCCCATCAGGGGGGTGACAGCTCCTGCCTGCCCCATCAGGGGGTGACAGCTCCTGCCTGCCCCATCAGGGGGTGACAGCTCCTGCCTGCCCCATTAGGGGGTGACAGCTCCTGCCTGCCCCATCAGGGGGGTGACAGCTCCTGCCTGCCCCATCAGGGGGGTGACAGCTCCTGCCTGCCCCATCAGGGGGGTGACAGCTCCTGCCTGCCCCATCAGGGGGTGACAGCTCCTGCCTGCCCCATCAGGGGGGTGACAGCTCCTGCCTGCCCCATCAGGGGGTGACAGCTCCTGCCTGCCCCATTAGGGGGTGACAGCTCCTGCCTGCCCCATCAGGGGGGTGACAGCTCCTGCCTGCCCCATCAGGGGGTGACAGCTCCTGCCTGCCCCATCAGGGGGTGACAGCTCCTGCCTGCCCCATCAGGGGGTGACAGCTCCTGCCTGCCCCATCAGGGGGTGACAGCTCCTGCCTGCCCCATCAGGGGGTGACAGCTCCTGCCTGCCCCCATCAGGGGGTGACATTCCTGGTGTTTCTCGCATTTCTTTCGTTGAATTATAAGTTGAATCTCTTCGTGCATTTTCTTGATGAATCTCAATATTCAGTCCGTATGTTTGCTACCAATGATTCTAGCAAAATATTCTCTATATTTCTTATAACCTTTACTTGAGAGGTTGAAAAATTGACTCCCCAAAAGTTCATTTCACAGTTTCATTATAACCCGACGGTGCATTTCGTTGATCCTGTCAACATTTCGAAAGGCAGAGTAGAAGTGAATACAATTTAGCTGGAGCAACTGAACGTATAACCGAGAGTGAGGTAAAGTGTCACATGGACCAATAGACCCACTCTTCCTCTCCCAGTTGGAACATCTTCTATGTTCCACCTGTACAAGAAGTTGTACAAGAAGTTGGAACATCTTCTATGTTCCACCTGTACAAGAAGTTGTACAAGAAGTTGGAACATCTTCTATGTTCCACCTGTACAAGAAGTTGTACAAGACGTTGGAACATCTTCTATGTTCCACCTGTACAAGAAGTTGTACAAGAAGTTGGAACATCTTCTATGTTCCACCTGTACAAGAAGTTGGAACATCTTCTATGTTCCACCTGTACAAGAAGTTGGAACATCTTCTATGTTCCACCTGTACAAGAAGTTGGAACATCTTCTATGTTCCAACTGGGAGAGGAAGAGCCAACCAAACACACAAGACGTACATTAATTATAGCCTGCAAGCACAAGTGCTGAGGCAGTGAGGCAGAAATTCCTACACAAAGTGTACTTCATGTCTGGCTTCGTCGTAATGGCAAGCATAACTGCATCAGGCATGGCCTTAAGAACAAAAAATAGATAACTACAGACAACTTTTCTCGGCCCAAACAACACAGCTCCTACTTACATCCCCCCAAACTTATTCATGTCTAACCTACGCTTGAAACAAGCCAGTGATCCCACATTGTCTATCATGTTACGCTAATTTGTTCCATAAATCAACAACCATGTTTCCGAACCAGTATTTACCCAGATCTCTCCTGAATCTAAACATATGTAATTTATATAAATTGTTTAATCCACTGATGGTTCCGTAGGGACGGAATAAACATAATAGATTCATATATACGAATTCAACAAATTCTCTAAAATACGAAGCACTACGAGGTTGTTATAACAATAATAGTTTTAGTTGTAAAGTTTCCAAGCTCACAAACTGTTAAATATATGTAAACTACGCCAACATGTTTATGGAAATACAGGCTCCGTAAACGGCTGTGCGCGAGTGCTTGATGAATTCTACCCCAAAACACAAGGGGGTAGAATTCAGCAAGCACTCGATAAACTCACCCACGACAACTCACCAGTAACTTATAACTAATAATGAAAAGATCCATTACTTCAGTGTATTTGTCTTTGTCCTCCCTGTGAACGCGACGGTGACGACGACCAGAGCAATCTTCCGAAGGACGAGGACTGTCGTGACGGCCGCCAGGAGGAGACCACAGACGACATCGAGCATGAGGAACTCCACCCAAGAGAGACTGGCAGCTGGAGACCTCAGGTGGGGCGCCCCCTTGTGTCGGATGACATACTCCGTCCAGTACACCGCCAGATCTTGTGGCGTCTCCACCTGGTCCTTCAGCGCTCTCGACATGTTTTCTATCTTCCTCTTGTACCTGTACAATGTTAATATTTATTTACATTTATGAAAATGTGTATACTAGAACGGGGTAACCGGCTTTGCCCGGGTCTCTTTGTCTCCTCCACAAACCTTTCTTTCCAAATTTTTTCCACCCCTCTAAACTCAGCCACACAGACTACCAGCCAACGCGAGACAAGACCACAAACACAAACTCACAGACAAAATGGGTTAATATAAACTCAACGACTCACAAACACAAGAATTCACACAAACGCAATTTCAAAAAGGTTCTTGATTCATGTTTTACAATGTTCAAAACAAGCCTTTTGTATTTGAATCTCAAACTAACTTTAGATAGCTTGGCGCATCAAACACACTGGGGTACCCAGTACGGTAACCGCTTGACCATGGACAACTGTATAAAAATGTTGGAAGTAGGGAGGCTTTATATATATATATTTTATTCAAGAGTTGGAGTGAAACTTTGGTCTGACTCCACTATCTTACTTTACCTATATTTGATTATTATTAATATAGTTTAACGTGAACTTAAGCCTTTAATACTAACCTTGAGTTATTAATGATTTCCTGAATGGTGTAAACGATAAGATCAGCTGATAGTTCATCCCAGTTCAGGTACAAGCCAATACCCTTGTTGGCAATATTTTGGGCATTCCTGGGCTGGTCCCCGTGGATGGGTAAGGCCAGGATGGGCTTAGCATGGTAGATGGCCTCCTGGGTGCCCAGAAGACCTCCGTGGCTCATAAACAACTTGACACGAGGATCACCTACGGGAGATTGTTTTATGTTGCAGAGTGGTAAGGAACTAACAAACCAAGTGCTAAACACGAAAAGCTATGTAGCACTGTGTCAACAGCTTTAAATATTCATTTTGAGAGCAGAAAAACAATGGTGTCAAAGGAGCCAGATTCGCGGAGGATTTTATCAAGGGACAATTGACCAAAAGAAACATTGCGAAGGCAAAAATTCCAATCATTTTGAAAACTCAAGAGTATTCCATGAGGAGGCCCGCCACCGTCAATGGAACAATACTGTCTGACATTAAGGTGCAGTTCTCTCTTCCTTAATGTGCTCACGAGTTAATCGTGTTTGGCAGAAGTACCAATCAGGACGGAAATGTTACCCACTGCCTGTCTTCTTTGGCGGATGAAGGCCATGTGGATTGGTAACATTTGGAAGTAAGCTGATATCCTCAATAACTATCCGTCCAACGGTCGCGCATCCAATTATGAATAATCGGGTAGAATTTCGATCTAGGAATTCGTTTGAGAAATGAGATACGCATGAACCTCTGCTTTGAGAGCGGCGTCCAGGAGCTTGGTAAAGACATCTCCCATATGGATTGGAAGCAAAAGTCGAGTGTCTTGTATCTGTTAAAGATGATGAATACCCAATGATGGAGTTCGATCTCCAAGAGTTGCGAAGGGTTAATGCATTCCAGAGGAAGAGGGGAATAGTGGCCTGCTAGATATCCATAACACCTCGGGGATAACGTAACAGATATCCCTAAACCAACGTTACATTACACATTACAACAATAACCTCTCTCAAAACATCAACACCTTATACACTAACTTAAAATATCCTGTTGAGGCATCCAGGGCTTTATCAGAACATTGTCTGACAGTCCAGGAAGGGCGCCTTCGTACTTCCAGATAACTCGCTGGTCAAGTCTGCTGAAGGCCTGGATGAAGAGATCGCGGTACTTCGCGGGCATTTTGGTGCCCTTGGTAATGGAACCCAAGCTGAAGTACACGACGCCAGCCTCCCCGGCACCCTCCATCCACGAATCTAAATCCTGTTGCAAACAAATCGAATAATATATTACTAAGTAAACTTTACAAGTTGCACTTTATTTCTTAAGTAAATACAGCCTTACTATACCACCGCTGGGATAGTGAGTTAAAGTAACATGACTGGGATAGTGAGTGACTATACCATGACTGGGATAATGAGTAACTATACCATGGCTGAACGACATAATACATAGCATAGCTGCTCTTGTAAGAAAGTTGAGACATGTTTTCCATAAGTTAAATATGAAAAGAAGGCGCCTAGCCAGGAAGACTATATTGCACTCTGTGTCACACAGTGTTAAACAAAGTATATATATTTCACTCGGGATGCCAATACGAGAATTTTTTTTTTTTTTTTTTTTTTATATTATTTTCTACCACAGACGTGGCCACACATTTACAATGCTAACCAGCATATATACATTTTCTTCTGTCCTCCATGGACAGGGTTAGAGAAGTGTTAAACATACAGTTCAAGGGTTTATTGAACACTCAACCACAGAAGGTGATTCGGTGCTTTTAAAATGCTAAGCTAACCTACATACGTAAATACATAGATACACAGATTTACGTATGCCCTACATAAAGTATTAGATGTGTCTTTTACATAGTGTCATTAATGTACATTCAAAAAGGTGAAATGTAATTCTGATCAGCTTCCATATATGCTTTATACCCATACATATACATACACACACACACATGCATTCACATACATTTGTCTCATTTACCCTGACAGGGTGAGGTAGCTGATAAAGAAACTAGTGTGCAATTAAGCACTTAATCACTGAAGGTGATGAAGGTGCTTTTACAAGCTCAGGTTATATAGTTACATCACATACATACATTGTATGATTGATACATTACATGGTCAATTTTGGATACAAGTCCAATATATCATCAAGTGTTCCAGTACTCATATAGTAACTACAGAGTTCAGCATACCTTAGCCCAGGAGGGCGAAAGTCAGTCAGTATTGGACACTCTACAATATAATGTTCAAGAGAGTGCATGTTTTCTCTTTCACAAAGTTGACACATTGTGTACTCGACATTTGGGTTTTGAGAAAGCTGCCAGATACGTCTATATCCCAGGCGTATTCTGGCCACTATAACATCACATTGCCGGGTTCTTGTTCTATTAGTCCCATATGTGAATGTCTCCTCACGATATCTATCATAATATTTAATGCTACAACTTTCAGGTCTTTGAGAATTTGTTAGGTCGGTGAGATTTTCATTAGATATTTGTTTAAGTATTCTCTTTGTCACTGCTAATGAAACACCCATATCAATTTCTACCACTGGTTTTCTGCAGGCTGACTTAGAAAGCATTTCAACAGTGTCATGCCTTGAGATGCCAACATGTGATGGTATCCATAGGAAAATACGAGAATTGAAAGATTCAAGTCGAGAGTTATCAAATGCAACAGACTCAGTGAGGGGGAATTATTGAGGGATGTTAATTCAAAGTAACATTAGGAAAACAATTCATATTTTACCCTGAAAAGCAGGACACTATGTGGGTAGGTGCGGGACTGTTAGTGTAATAATACAGTTGTGACAGTAAGGTACACGCAAAACTTTCCTTATTAAAACCACTCAATAGCTCGGTCGATGGAGCTTCGGCCTCACACGTGTGGAGTCCCCGGTTCGAGTCTCCTAGAGCCCCAGGTGAATGGTAAGGTACACGTCTCTGTCATTATGTGGTCATTGGCTACTCGTGTGTTACTGATATATAACCCAGACTGTCGAAGGCTACAGGAACAGGTCACATATATAACTACATAATTAGGCGTACATAAGTTGGTATCAGGCCGACAGAGGATTCCGGCGTGACTGGTATATCTATAGACATAATTCCTACTCTAGCTCTATTCTTCAAATATATAGAAGCACCCAGATAAACTTGAAACGATCCTGCACATGATATAGAATGTAAGCTGCTGTAGGACCAAATTATAAGTGGATTAAGATTTGTGGCATGTTTCTGGGCTCAACTAACCTGTGGCAGCGGGTTGCCTGGTCGACAGTGTAGGGCGCCCACCTCCACCTGGGAGGGCAGGAGAGGGTATGGCATGTCCAAACTAAAGTGGGTATTTAACAGCGTCAAGCTCTGATTCCTCGTCAACTCCTTGAGCGGAGGCAGGTCTGGGAACAGGGATGAAATCTTCGCGGAAAACAGATTAAAAAAATTATCATATGAAAAACAAAATTGCCTGCATAATATTTGGGGTTAGTAAACAATCAAATACTGCATAAAAAGGATATGTAAAAATACCGTTCACATGGATGCACACAACTTTACCTATATAGGTTAACTAGATGAGTACTGGGCGGTGGCTGACTTCACCCGATAATTCAGACACACTCTTCAACACATTTAAATACATGATTTAAAGGTAGAAACCCTCTAAATATATGCCTGTAAAACACACGTGAAATAAACGTTATATCTGCAAAGGAAATAAAATAAGGGAATATACATAAAAATGTGTGTATGTATATATATTTATATATATATAAAATGGCAGTATCTGTCTTCCTGTTCGAGGGTGGAGGCCACGCACTTGGAGACAGCTTCACCCCCCCCCCCAAACCACCTATGACATTCCCGATATAATCACAATTAATTCTGCAGAGTTTAATGAGGCTAGCCACAAGCGTCTGACCTCCAAGCTGGCACACACAGACACATTCTCTTTTGTAAAACAATGTCTGAAACAGAATCACGGAGGGTGTTACTCATTGCAACGGATCTCATACCACAAACTATCTTTAACACGGCACAGAGAGAGATACACAAAATGAAAATGGTTTAACGACGTCAAAAATTAGACGTAGCCAGGGATGTACGTGAAAGTAAAATATAAATTACCTTATTTTGAAGTTTGGGAAGATAATACCAATGATTATAAAAGAAAGGGAAGAGCAGGTGGGCCGCCGTGTTAGCGAGACGTTGGTACACGTTCCACGGGGGAGGGATTGTGGCCAACAGCGAGGGTGTGAAGGCTGGGTTCTGGACGTTGCCCAACATGGCACTCTGCATTGGGTCCATGCCTGGCGCGGCAACGGTGATGAAGGGCATCTCGTGGAGGAACGGGTGCGACATCTGTTGAGAGAGAAATACACAGCGGGTTTTAGCTTCCTATACATGTGGTGGAGGTGCAGTAATGTGGTGGAGGCTGACTCCACACACAGTTTCAAGTGTAGATATGATAGAGCCCAGTAGGCTCAGGAATCTGTACAACAGTTGATTGACAGTTGAGAGGCGGGACCAAAGAGCCAGTGTAACACCACTCTAATGTGTACCACCGCTATAATGGAACACCACTATAATGGATACTAAACTAATAATGAAAACACTACTTACCCTGAGTAACACTTCCACATCGGTTGCACTTGGTAACACTGTTATGAGCTGACATATGATGGTTACACCGGAACTAAAGGGTACCCTGCCAACAAGGAAATGCTAACACAGGATTAAATACGCTGCCACCATCTGCCTTTGACCATTGAGACTATATCAAGCAACGAGGCAAGAAACATTGCTTGACTTGGAGAGTACTTTCTATGACTGTCATTAATTATGAAAACGGTTGTCAGCCACTATATCCAAAAGGCTAAGAGGATTCAACAATTGACACAGACGGGAAATTTAACATGAGTTTATTAAGACCAAAATTATGTCAATCACCACTTATAAATCCTACTCTAACACTGGCAAAAATTTAAGAAATTTGGACATGGAACAAAACCTCAGAGATCACACACAGTACCTTAAGACCTCTGTCTCTCCCTCTGTCACCTCCCGATGTTCTCCACAGCCCTCTCTGGACCCCGGTGTCCGGCACTCTGTCCTTACTAAGTACCTACTGGACCTCTATATACAACCCCCACTGGAGGAGGGGGGAGATCTGCTGTTGCTACCCAGATCAGAAATGCTAGGGGGGTCGGCCACACGTGCACAAACACTTAAACAATATTTCAATAAGCTTGTTTGACATTCACCATACACTCTTCAGGAGAGGAGTTATTAATTACGTGTGTGACTGACCTCTGACCTGGCCAAAAGGGGGAGATCCATGGATGTTTACACATAAGAATCTGGGGTCTAATTCCCTTGCAATGTTTGACCAGAGTATCATGAAATATTACATACTTGAAACTATGCTGACTAAGACTAACTCAGGAATTTTTTTAATCAACATACAAGAGAATCCGGAGGTCATCTGAGCTGACCTCTTGGAGAAGGACTTCCCTGGGTGTGAACTCTAAGGGGGGGGGGGAGGTCATGGGTGTTACACCAGAGCTCAACCCTCGCAAGCACAATTAGGTGAGTACATGCCGTTCCCTCCTGTTTCACTGCAACAAATTTCAGATGTAAATTTAGAACAAAAAAATGTGCATTACCAACTCAGTAGCAAAATGATAACGTTATTAACATTTCGTTTAAGTGGCAATTTATTGAAAGCACATCAGAGGGTAAGTTCTTTTAAATGTTTATCTCTCCCATTGATTCATTCTAAATCTTACATAACAAATTTCAAAAGATTGAATGAATCAGGTGAAAGCCAGTTAACACACGCTAGGTAGCTCCAACTTCCACCCGTCCAGTCCACTCCTGCATGTGTCTTAACTGATTCTACAGTGTCATAGTGAATGATTATGATCAACACGCGAACCTAAACTGCTTTTATCATGCTGTTTGTTCATGTACTATGAATTACCGTCAAATGGTTTTCAATACTGATCATTTGTATACTTTACTAGACTTATTGCCTACGAGACAGAGAGAGAGAGAGAGAGAGAGAGAGAGAGAGAGAGAGAGAGAGAGAGAGGAGAGAGAGAGAGAGAGAGAGAGAGAGAGAGAGAGAGATAGGAAGAGAGAGAGAGAGAGGGAGAGAGAGAGAGAGAGAGGAAGAGAGAGAGGAGAGAGAGAGAGAGAGAGAGAGAGAGGGGGGAGAGAGAGAGGGAATGAGAGAGAGGGAGAGAGAGAGAGGGGGGATGAGAGAGAGATGGGAGAGAATAGAGAGAGAGAGAGAGAGGAGAGAGAGAGAGAGAAAGAGAGAGAGAGAGAGAGAGAGGAGAGAGATAGAGAGAGAGGAGAGAGTAGAGAGAGAGAGAGAGAGAGAGGAGGAGGAGAGAGAGAGAGAGACGAAGAGAGGAGTAGGGAGAGAGAGAGAGAGAGAGAGAGAGAGAGAGAGAGAGGGAGAGCGAGAGAGAGAGAAAGCGAGAGAGAGAGGAGGAGAGAGAGAAGGATAGGAAAGAGAGAGAGAGGAGAGGAAGAGAGAGAGAGGAGGAGAAGAGAGAGAGGGAGAGGAGAGAGAGAGAGAGGAGGGAGAAGAGAGAGGGAGAGGGAGGGGAGGGAGGGAGGGAACTAGAGAGAGAGAGAGAGAGAGAGAGAGAGAGGAGAGAGAGAGAGAGAGAGAGAGAGAAAGAGAGAAAGAGAGAAAGAGAAAGAGAGAGAGAGAGAGAGAGAGAGAGAGAGAGAGAGAGAGAGAGAGAGAGAGAGAGAGAGAGAGAGAGAGAGAGAGAGAGAGAAGAGAAAGAGAGAGAGAGAGAGAGAGAGAGAGAGAGAGAGAGAGAGAGAGAGAGAAATAGAAAGAGAAAGAGAGAAATAGAAAGAGAAAGAGAGAAAGAGAGAAAGAGAGAGAGAAAGAGAGAGGGAGAGAGACAGACAGAGTATAGCAAAGTATGAAAATTATCAGTAATAAGAGTAATAAGTCTAGCAAACAAATGATCAGTAATGAAAACCATTTGACGATAATTCATAGTACATGAACAAACAGCATGATAAAAGTGGGTTAATAGCATGAAATACAAATAATGTAATGGACCTGGACCATTATTGAGACAATAAAGTGGGATTGAACTCTTGTGTCTCGGGAGTCCCTTAGAAGACCCATTATACCCACTGGCCCATGATGTGCAAACGTAATACAACCTGAAACGCTACTGAACGTACTCTGGGGCTCAGAAGGCACCAGCTGGTACCCACAAACCAATTTGTACGTGATACCTGTGTGTGTCCCCTGTCCACTTCATCATTACCCATCTCTCATTAACCTACATCACAGTCCCAACTGATCTTTCCAGCTTAATATTAATAGTATTTAAAGTAAATATTTCAATACTTGGTCCCAAGGATTGTCATTAAAGTTACTGCAGAGTGCTTGTGTGACAATGAGGGCTTCAAACCTGGACATTATAGTTACCTCATTACACAAGTGATCAGTGACGAACAGGTCAAAGGTCTTCCTCCTGCTGTAGAGCTCCTGCACAGCCGGAGACTTGTACACCTCATCAACTATTGATATTGTAACATTTACAAAAATCTCGAATTCATCTGAAAAGAAAGAAAAAAGACATAACCTCTGACAATGATTAGTAGGTAAATCTTCTGATATTAATCCCTTATATTAAAATTATTCTGCTATAAGACTTTAAAACCAAATATTCCTAATATAAAGACAAATTTCATAAGTCAACTTTAATATATTTGTATTCAATATATCAAGGATAATTTCCCATAAGTCCTTAACTATGAGCTATAATCGAACTGAATGCTGTAAGTAAATATTTATGGAACAGAACTTCACGTTGCTGGAAGACAGAAAATGTACAGGAGACAATCACCATTATAAATTTCTCAGGGGAAATTAGACAAGACAAACACAGCTTACTTGGCGCGTGGCGGGTCTCGAACAAGGGAACACAGGTGGAAGCTGAGTATTTAACTTAACCATAGAGACATTAGAAATAATTGTTTCACTGTCTGAATATTGAACAAATGGAACGCCCTTAGAAGTAAAATGGTTTAGGCTGATTCCCTGCACTGTTTTAAAGGTAGATATGAATCTTATAGGATTTGTAGTTGATTGAAAGTTGAGAGGGGGAACCATCGATTCAAAGCTCAACATCCGCAGGAATTCCCACATTAGCACACAGGCAAGAGTAAGGAAAAGCTCATAGAGTACATATAGTAGGTAGAAGCTATCCTATCAGTCCCACACCAGGTCATTCTGTTCAGCCTCAGTTAAACCATTGACGCGCCTTGACGTGAAGCGCACTCACCAATTTCGTTTTGTAGGACTTGAAACATGTTAATATGTTCAATGTCCATGAAATTGATTCCTGAAAAATGTTGAATAATTCTTCTTGACGTAGAGAAGTCCGGGAGACTGGAGAGAATCTCGACCTGAGGTAGAGAGACCACAAAGGAGAAAGTGAATTAGTGCTTCGACATCTCTCGTGTTGTGGTGAGTTATGTCACTCAACTAATAGGTTATGTCTATCACTCAAAGCTTCTGTCTATCACTCATCTCACAGGTTCTGTCACTCACTCTTCTCGTGTCTATCGTTCAACTCACAGGTTCTGTCTATCACTTACCTCACAGGTTCTGTCACTCACTCTTCTCGTGTCTATCGTTCAGCTCACAGGTTCTGTCTATCACTTACCTCACAGGTTCTGTCACTCACTCTTCTCGTGTCTATCGTTCAGCTCACAGGTTCTGTCTATCACTTACCTCACAGGTTCTGTCACTCACTCTTCTCGTGTCTATCGTTCAGCTCACAGGTTCTGTCTATCACTTACCTCACAGGTTCTGTCACTCACTCTTCTCGTGTCTATCGTTCAACTCACAGGTTCTGTCTATCACTTACCTCACAGGTTCTGTCACTCACTCTTCTCGTGTCTATCGTTCAACTCACAGGTTCTGTCTATCACTTACCTCACAGGTTCTGTCACTCACTCTTCTCGTGTCTATCGTTCATCTCACAGGTTCTGTCACTCACTCTTCTCGTGTCTATCGTTCAACTCACAGGTTCTGTCTATCACTTACCTCACAGGTTATGTCTAACTTTTGTGGTGAATAATGTCTTTAAGGACTATAGTACACTATTAATTTGTTCCTGTGTCATCAGGAATAAGTATGAGTGTTGCTGATGTTCTCACTGTAAATTAAACATCATTTAACAGTAACGTTAAGCTCTTAAGATATAATTTCACCATTAACCCCTAAACTGTAAAATTTCAAAGCACTAAATCGAAGTGTATATATATAATTAACATAATTAATTAATTAAGTGTATAAATAATTAACAAATCAAGAGAGAGAAAAAAAGAGCAAATAACTATTTCAGCACTGTGAGGGTTACACAGTAAGTATATCTTATCAAAATCTAATCATTCTTATCAATATATCTCATCACAAGCAGGAGATAGGAAACAATATCTGACCCTACACAACAGGGGCGAGGGCGCCCTTTGATATATAGCATATCTGAGGAATGATAACGCAACTGCATTCCATATTGATAGAAATATTTTCAAGGTCAGTTTCACAGGAATGATATTAGCTAAGATGAGTCACTGTAGCTCACTTTCATTGACACAAAACCGCTGGGATAACGCAGATAGATGTATTCAGAGGGCGGTACTCCCCCTCCCCCCCCCTAAAACACACACACACACACACACACACACACACCTAAACACACACACATACCCAGACCCTCAAAAACACACACACACACACACACAGTGTGTGTGTGTGTGTGAGATAGAGAAAGATAGATAGAAAGATAGAGAAGGGAGAGGAGGAGGTGGTGTAGCTTTGCTACTAAGAGAAGGTTGGAGTTTCGAAGAGATGGTAATTCAGAACTGTGAAGGTTTCAGTGACTACATATCAGGCACCATAGCAACTGGAGGACAGAAAATTATAATAGTAGTCATATATAACCCCCCACCGAATGACAGAAGACCCAGTCAGGAATATGATAGAAACAACTTGGCCACCATCAATATAATAGAGAGAGCAGCTTCTGTGGCTAGCAGGAACGGATCCAGGCTACTAATCATGGGAGACTTCAACCATGGAAAGATAGATTGGGGGAATAGAGACCCACATGGAGGCCCAGACACATGGAGAGCTAAGCTGCTGGATGTGGCAACAAGAAACTTTCTAAGTCAACACGTCAAGGGACCGACAAGAACGAGAGGAGGGGATGAACCAGCCTTGCTTGATCTGATATTTACCCTAAATGAGTCGGATATAAGGGAAGTTAAGTTGGAAGCCCCCTTGGGAATGAGTGATCATAGTGTATTGAGCTTTGAGTACCTGGTTGAGCTAAGAATTATCACCCCCAAAAAAGAACTGGGAAACAAAGGGCTGGCGTACCGAAAGGGAAACTATGAGGAGATGAATAAATTCCTATGGGATATACATTGGGACACAGAACTCGGAACCAAGTCTGTACAAGACATGATGGACTATGTCACCCAAAAATGTCAGGAGGCTGTAAGCAGGTTTGTCCCAGCCCAACAGGAAAAAACAGAGAAGCAAAGGAAGAATCCGTGGTTTAATAGGGAATGTATGAAAACAAAGGAGCTGAACAAAAGGGCATGGAGGAACTTCCGTAATAACAGAACACCAGAAAGTAGAGAGAGATACCAGAGAACCAGGAACGAGTATGTTAGTGTGAGAAGAGCAGCTGAGAAAAGGTATGAAAATGATATAGCTAATAAAGCCAAGACCGAACCAAAGCTACTACACAGTCACATCAGGAGGAAGACAATAGTGAAGGAACAGGTGATGAAACTTAGGGTGGGCGAGGACAGGTACACAGAGAATGACAAAGAGGTGTGTGAAGAACTCAACAAAAGGTTCCAGGAGGTCTTTACAATAGAACAGGGAGAAGTCACGGTGCTAGGAGAGGTGGCAGCAAACCAGGTGACCTTGGAAAGGTTCGAAATTACAAGAGATGAGGTCAAGAAGCACCTATTGGAGCTGGATGTGAGAAAAGCTGTTGGGCCGGATGGAATCTCACCATGGGTATTGAAAGAGTGTGGAGGAGCACTTTGCTTGCCACTCTCCATAGTGTATAGTAGGTCACTGGAAACGGGAGACCTACCAGAAGTATGGAAGACTGCTAATGTAGTACCAATATTTAAAAAGGGTGACAGACAAGAGGCACTGAACTACAGGCCAGTGTCCATAACTTGTATACCATGCAAGGTGATGGTGAAGATTGTGAGAAAAAACCTAGTAACACATCTGGAGAGAAGAGACTTCGTGACAACCCATCAACATGGGTTCAGGGAGGGTAAATCTTGCCTTACAGGCTTGATAGAATTCTATGATCAGGTGACAAAGATTAAGCAAGAAAGAGAAGGATGGGCGGACTGCATTTTTTTGGACTGTCGGAAAGCCTTTGACACAGTACCCCCATAAAAGGTTGATGCATAAGCTGGAGAAACAGGCAGGAGTAACTGGTAGGGCGCTCCAGTGGATAAGGGAGTACCTAAGCAATAGGAAGCAGAGAGTTATAGTGAGGGGTGAGATCTCAGAATGGCGGGAAGTCACCAGTGGAGTCCCACAGGGCTCTGTGCTTGGACCTATCCTGTTTCTGATATACGTAAATGATCTCCCAGAGGGTATAGACTCATTCCTCTCAATGTTTGCTGACGACGCCAAAATTATGAGAAGGATTAAGACAGAGGAGGACAGCTTGAGGCTTCAAGAAGACCTGGACAAGCTGCAGGAATGGTCGAACAAATGGATGTTAGAGTTTAACCCAAGCAAATGTAATGTAATGAAGATAGGAGTAGGAAGCAGGAGACCAGATACAAGGTATCACTTGGGAGATGAAATACTTCAAGAGTCAGAGAGAGAGAAAGACCTGGGGGTTGATATCACGCCAGACCTGTCCCCTGAAGCTCATATCAATAGGATAACATCAGCAGCATATGCCAGGTTGGCTAACATAAGAACGGCCTTTAGAAACTTGTGTAAGGAATCTTTCAGAACATTATATACCACATATGTCAGACCAATCCTGGAGTATGCGGCTCCAGCATGGAGTCCATATCTAGTCAAGCATAAGACTAAACTGGAAAAGGTTCAAAGGTTTGCCACCAGACTAGTACCCGAGCTGAGAGGTATGAGCTACGAGGAGAGACTACGGGAATTGAACCTCACTTCGTTGGAAGACAGAAGAGTTAGGGGGGACATGATCACCACATTCAAGATTCTCAAGGGAATCGACAGGGTTGATAAACATAGGCTATTTAACACAAGGGGCACACGCACTAGGGGACACAGGTGGAAACTGAGTGCCCAAATGAGCCACAGAGATATTAGAAAGAACTTTTTTAGTGTCAGAGTGGTTGACAAATGGAATGCATTAGGAAGCAATGTGGTGGAGGCTGACTCCATACACAGTTTCAAGTGTAGATATGATAGAGCCCAATAGGCTCAGGAACCTGTACACCTGTTGATTGACGGTTGAGAGGCGGGACCAAAGAGCCAGAGCTCAACCCCCGCTAGCACAACTAGGTGAGTGCAACTAGGTGAGTACACACACACACACACACAGACGCTCACAAACACACACCAGTACTGATTCTGGACAATACAACTTTAATGAAATTGTGAACATTAAATCCCCATCTTAGAATATACAGACTCACTGTGATAAATATTCCTTGAAAAGCAATTCATCCATTAAGCTGCTGCTTTTAAACTGTCATACGTGTGTCATAGTGTGTGTATGTCTTGGTTCGTACCCCGTGCAACCGGCACGTGTTAGTACGCCCCAACGTGCACCACCACCATGACCCCAAGTGACCCCACCTGGTGACCCCGGTCCGCCAGAGCCTCGGCTATGGGCACGAAGACGTTGCGATGGCTGGGCGAAGATGCCATCAACAGCATCAGGATCTTGTAAGACCTCTCCGGTGGCTTCAGCGTCGCTAAGACGCCCCCAGCCATCACCATGACCACCACCATCATCATCACCTGCTCACGCATCCTGTCACGTGTCAATCACACCTGTCAAATCAGAAATTTGATGTAGTGCTGTGTTAATATCTGATTAATTAGCACTACCGAGAACAATATACATAGCCTAAGGTCAAAAAGTTTTAACTATATTGGAGCGTGAATGACTTGATTAACCATCAACTGAATCGTCTTCACAGCCATTCAGTTGAGGGTTAATCAGGTCCTGATCGAGGCTTGCAACCATTGCAATCATTGCATGAAGAGAAACAACCTCCACGTGGTTGTTGAGACTCTCACTTGTACCAAACCTAACTGGGCATTTCTAATTTAAAGTAGATTTCTAGTGTATATATATATATCTATATATCAGGAAACGTAGTACACCTCAGTGTATTTGTACCTCTATAGAAGAGAGTGTTCCTGGGCCGAGCGCGGCACCCACCCCGTGAAGGCTGGACGACCACTGAACGTAAACAATGCTGAACCCGAATCATATTTTTGGCGCCATCTCAGTTGCCAGGTCTCATTTCATCATTAATTTCATCACATTACCGACCTTTAATAACTAATCTAAGATATTCATATTATATATCTCTTTATATATTGAGTCGCATATGTAACAATACTTTCAACTAGCATATTTAGTAAAATTCATTCATTTCAGATATAATTTCTCGAGAATAATGAGCTCGTGATGGCAACACTTACAGTCTGGGTTTTTTTTCAAGGGTGTTGAATAATCATCGTGAGTTGTGTGTTTTCATCAGTCATCATAATACTTCTTTAATCATTTACTTAATAGCCATTCAGTACGAAAGTCTGTTACCTGACTACCAGGTGGTCAACAATACTAAATTTGACCAATAAATCAGTATTTTTTGGCTGACTTTTTATCTGACTAATTTTCCATCATTATTTAGAACTATATATCATTATTTAGAACTATATATCATTATTTAGAACTATATATCATTATTTAGAACTATATATCATTATTTAGAACTATATATCATTATTTAAAACTATCTATCATCATTCAGAACTATCATTATTTCGAACTATTTATCATTATATATAAGTATCTATTATTATTCTATCATTATTTCTATCATCTTAAAACTTATTTCCATTATTGTTTACGGGATTCTGCAAACGATATATTATATATATATATATATATATATATATATATATATATATATATATATATATATATATATATATATATATATATTATATATATTATATTTATTATATTATATTATATTATATATATTATATATATTATATTATTATATATATTATATATATATATATATATATATATATATATATATATATATATATATATATATATATATATATGTCGTACCTAGTAGCCAGAACGCACTTCTCAGCCTACTATGCAAGGCCCAATTTGCCTAATAAGCCAAGTTTTCATGAATTAATTGTTTTTCGACTACCTAACCTACCTAACCTAACCTAATCTAACTTTTTCGGCTACCTAACCTAACCTGTAAAGATAGGTTAGGTTAGGTTAGGTAGGGTTGGTTAGGTTCGGTCATATATCTACGTTAATTTTAACTCCAATAAAAAACAATTGACCTCATACATAATGAAATGGGTAGCTTTATCATTTCATAAGAAAAAAATTAGAGAAAATATGTTAATTCAGGAAAACTTGGCTTATTAGGCAAATCGGGCCTTGCATAGTAGGCTGAGAAGTGCGTTCTGGCTACTAGGTACGACATATATATATATATATATATATATATATATATATATATATATATATATATATATATATATATATATATATATATATATATCAGTGACTACATCACTCTATTAAAGCTCATTAATATCATTATCTCTTCATGACCTTTGAAACTGGTGGTGAGTGGGATTTGACAGGAAACTGTTAGTCTGGGTGGAGTGGGTGTAATTGGTCCTAAACTGATATTGGGTGGTGCTATTCCCGAAACTGATGGAGAGCGGCCCTAGGCACCAAACCAATTCTTGAGTAATAAATTAAACAGTCAAATAAGCATTATTCAAGGTAAAGAACATCTCAACGACGGGTCACGAGACCAAACTTGAGACAAATGAGGCACAGATTTAGATGAAAGAGCCTTCGGTCGCAAATATCTATAGTTATCATAAGATAACCCGAGCTAATATGGTCATTCTATTGAATTTCTGACGATGGAGGCGTGGTCGTGGAGCTGGCGCAAGACTCTACAAGCATATCTAACCAAGCACACACACAGACCACGAAACTGGGTTCGATTCCCGACCGAGACAAACAAATTGGAAGAGCTTTTCACCTCATGTCTTGTTCACCTAAGATATAGAAACCTGGGAATTAGACAGATGCTACGGGCTACAGCCTGGGGGTGAGAGATACATATATGTGATAGTAGATATGAGAGGAAAAATAGGTAGGGAGTCATAATATTAGACAGCCGATGGTCAGAAAGGCGGGGTCCAAGAACTAACAGCTCAATCCTGCAGGCGTAAATAGTAAATACACACACACACATACATCACTCTTTATCAGTAGTTTAACTGTTACTTCTCACAGGTATTAATAACAGTAAGGTCAAACACCTACTAACATATATCATGAGCCTGTTGATGGCTGTTGCTACTAAGAAAACACCTGTTAATGGCTGTTGCTACTAATAAAACACCTGTTAATGGCTGTTGCTACTAATAAAACACCTGTTAATGGCTGTTGCTACTAATAAAACACCTGTTGATGGCTGTTGCTACTAATAAAACACCTGTTGATGGCTGTTGCTACTAATAAAACACCTGTTAATGACTGTTGCTACTAATAAAACACCTGTTGATGGCTGTTGCTACTAATAAAACACCTGTTGATGGCTGTTGCTACTAATAAAACACCTGTTAATGACTGTTGCTACTAATAAAACACCTGTTAATGACTGTTGCTACTAATAAAACACCTGTTAATGACTGTCGCTACTAATAAAACACCTGTTAATGGCTGTTGCTACTAATAAAACACCTGTTAATGGCTGTCGCTACTAATAAAACACCTGTTAATGGCTGTTGCTACTAATAAAACACCTGTTAATGGCTGTTGCTACTAATAAAACACCTGTTAATGACTGTCGCTACTAATAAAACACCTGTTAATGACTGTTGCTACTAATAAAACACCTGTTAATGACTGTTGCTACTAATAAAACACCTGTTAATGACTGTCGCTACTAATAAAACACCTGTTAATGGCTGTCGCTACTAATAAAACACCTGTTAATGGCTGTTGCTACTAATAAAACACCTGTTAATGGCTGTCGCTACTAATAAAACACCTGTTAATGGCTGTTGCTACTAATAAAACACCTGTTAATGGCTGTTGCTACTAATAAAACACCTGTTAATGACTGTCGCTACTAATAAAACACCTGTTAATGACTGTTGCTACTAATAAAACACCTGTTAATGACTGTTGCTACTAATAAAACACCTGTTAATGACTGTTGCTACTAATAAAACACCTGTTAATGGCTGTCGCTACTAATAAAACACCTGTTAATGGCTGTTGCTACTAATAAAACACCTGTTAATGGCTGTTGCTACTAATAAAACATGTCGACAGATGCAGCCAGAGCAAACCAGTCAGCATCAATTTGTATTCATCACTAAATCGTTCACATATTGCTATCATCATATTTTTTATCTATCATTCTATCATATTTTTCTATCATACATTCCATCTATCATATTTGTTATGATAAATTGACTGAGATAGTTAATGATTGCTCAGGCTGTTACTTCCCGGAATGTCGACCACTGTTACATAGGCATATATATTCAAACCGTAAAATTAAATATTATATTGGTTTTCCTTAATTACCATATTTGAGGATAGAGCACAAGCCTTTTGTTCGCCATCAACTCAATACATATCGTATTAACATGTAAAACCACATTTTCGATCATTTTCAAAAACTATAATGAAAAATATTTAACTTTTTTTTTTTAGAAAATCAGTAGCAGCCTTGGGTAGGATTCGAACCAGCACACTTGGTACTGCACTTCCAAGCCTAGTGTTTGTTATTTTAATCACAAAATAACCTTATAAATTAGGCGTATCTTACATGCTGGAAAATACGGAATACGGATAGTTCATTGAAAATTACGGGTCTTAATTATACACTAAAATCAGTCTTAATTTATTACATAAAATTACGATAACCTGCATAATTAATAGTACCAATACCCGGGGGGAGAAGAGAATTAATTATAAAGCTTGATAACATCACTCCCTAATGATCTATTCAAGGAGGAATATTCATTAAGTGGTAAAATAATAGAGAAAGAATCATTAGGCCTCCATAAAAAATGAACTTAACGTATTAAAATATATTACAACTATGTGAAAAGGCACATTTTTTCCAGGGGTCAGATTATTTATGTTTACCTCAGATCTTCCTCAGTCTGTCTGTCTGTCCTAGGCCTCTCTGTCTCTGTCTGTCTCAGACCTCCCCCGTAAACACACTCTATGAGACCTTGAATGTGTAAAATAAAACTAGAAGACACTCTGAGGTTTTAAAATGTGTCAACACGTACAAGATGACATTCAACGAGACAGTCTACTGGCCGGGTTACACATATAAATATATATATATATATATATATATATATATATATATATATATATATATATATATATATATATATATATATATATATATATATATATATATATATATATATGTGTGTGTGTATATCACGAAAATAAACACGTGATTAAGAATGTGACAATGTCAGACCACGGAGGAAAATGAAACAGGAATTTCCTTAAGTACTTTCGTATATTAAATACATCTTCAGAAGGAATGAATGAATCCTTCTGAAGATGTATTTAATATACAAAAGTACTTAAGGAAATTCCTGTTTCATTTTCCTCCGTGGTCTGACATTGTCATATATATATATATATATATATATATATATATATATATATATATATATATATATATATATATATATATATATATATATATATAAATATATATATATATATGTATATAATGACTGGTGACAAGAGGTCAAAAATCAAGTTACCTAAAATCACACTATCGCGGTTGCCAATCTAAATATGCCACATTCAATAACCAATAATATTTACACAAATTATCTTCACGTGGAGTTTTAGACTGATTCGCAATATATATTCGCCCATGGAGGCTTCTGTGTAAGTCGGAAATGATAGCCTCAACTTTGTCACATTAATAACGTTGACATGGTCATTGATGCTCCACTGAACTTGATGGGCAGAGTGTGTGATGAGTATGGGTGACTTTTGAAAATGCAACCCATTCACCCATGTGGCCCCGTCAAGCTGGCTTACTCATGCCATAAAGAAATGCTGGCTTAACTATGCAGCCACATCACGCGGGCTCATTCATGCGGTATCTATACTCTAAGAGAAT